GGGAGGCTAAGGCAGGAGGATCGTTTGAGCTTAAGAGTTCGAGATCAGCCTGAGCAAGAGTGAGACACCCCTCTCTACTAAAAAAGTAGAAAGAAATTAGCTAGACAACTAAAAATATATATAGAAAAACTTAGCCGGGCATGGTGGCGCATGCCTGTGGTCCCAGCTACTTGGGAGGCTGAGGCAGAAGGATCGCTTAAGCCCAGGAGTTTGAGGTTGCTGTGAGCTAGGCTGACACCATGGCACTCTAGCCTGGGCAACATAGTGAGACTCTGTCTCAAAACAAAACAAAACAAGATAAGTGGAGTCTAAGCAGTCGTAACAACTAAATGCAATGTGATGTCCTGGACGAGATCCCTGGAACAGTGAAGGGACATTAGGGAAAATTTATGAAATCCAAATAAATGATGGCATGTGCTTAGTAGTAATAAGATATCAGTATTGGTTCATTAGCTGTGACAAGGCTACCCTAGTAGTGTAAAATGTTAGCATTTCCCTGGGGAAACTAGGTCCAGATATATGGGAACGCTCTGTGCTACCTTTGAAAGTTTTTCTACAAATCTCAGCTGTTGTCAAATTAAAACTGAACATCTACATAAAATAAGCCACCCGCTGACTTCACGGGGGAGGGCAGACTGAGAAGGGCAAGAGTGACATCAGAGAGACCAGTTGGAGCCACACAGCTCCAGGCGGGAGCTGCGAGGGCGCCTTGGTGTGGAGATGGAGAAAGGTGGATGAATTAGCAAGGTCAGGATGTAGGTCTAGCTGGGGAACAGGTGAGGGAAAGGGGGATCCTGGATGACATGTGGACCCAACCAGTGGATAGCTTTTAATAGATTTTTTGGCCTCAGTTGGCAGAAAATAGAGGAAGGGCAGGTTTTGGGTAGAAAGTCAAGAGTTCTTCTGTGGCTGGAATATAGAGACCCCTGGGGTCCTACTGAGATCCTTGGACCTCATGCAAATGCCCAGGGACAGGTGGGTGTGGAGGTCCAGGTGTAGGAAGCGCTGGAATGTAAGTGGATTTAAAGCCATGGACCGTCCCTGCTCACCTGGGCAAGGAGTGTGTCTCTGGAGACGAAGGGGGTGGCCCAGAGCCCTGCGGCCTCCAACAGGAGGGCCCAGGAAACCTGGAGGGCAAGGTGACCCAGACGCCAAGAGAGGAAAGTGTTTGCAGAAGCAGGGGCTTGTCATCTGTGTCCTGCTGTGAGCACTGAAGACAAGGACAGAAGTGACCAAAGGATTTAGTTACAGAAGGATGTGATGACCAAGAGCTCAGTGTGGGGACAAAGTCTGATGGGAGAGGTGGAGGGAGAGAGGCAGTGGAGACAGGAGACAGCTCTTTCCAGAACCTTTGCTGGGAAAGGGGAGCAGAGGATTGGGGTGGTGGCTGGAGAGAAATGGGGGACAGGGCAGTGTCTTTACAGGTTAGGCGACACTCCTGCACTTCTGTGGGATGGCAGTGACTCAGTGGAGAGGGAAGAAAATGGCAAAATTCAGCACACATTCAAGGGTGAGAGGCAGAAGACAGGGGGGCAGGCACTTCAGGTGCAGGGGCCCTTCTGATGGCTGCGTGGGAGGGAAAACGTGCCCCACTGTGCAATGAGGGGTGAGCCTGAGCCCCCGTGTTTGCTGTGGGGCAGGCACCACTCTCCCGGCTGTCACAGGACTAAACCAGGGCACCTGGCACAGAGGGAGTGTCAGAGAGGGGTGGCTCATCCCCACCATCAGCGTCACCCTGCTGTGCCTGTTCCTTAGACACTGGCTGGCGTCTCTGGGGAGGTTCTGGAGGGTTTGCAGTTTCTGTCTGAGGCTCCACGAGGCAGGAGGGATTGGGGTGACCCGTAGCCTGGCCTCGGCTCTGCCCTGCGCCCGGGGCCTGTGCGTGGGACACGGTGGACCGAAGGCGGCACCATCCGGGCCTGAACGCGCGGCAACGGCCCCCAGCCCGGCCCAGCGCGGGAGCAGCTCCCTCCGTGTCCCTGCGGCTGGCCGGCAGGAGCCTGGCGCCTGGCCGCGGACACCCGGCTCCGAGCACGACCGGGCGCGCGTCACGGCGCGGGCACCCTCCCTGCTCTGTGATGCGGCGGCGCTGCCGGGGCGCGCGCGCGGGGCGCCCCAGCTTGTGCCCCGACCTCGGAGCGGGCGGACGATGGCGGCGCGGCGGCTCCTGGCGGCGGCGCTCGGGACCTGCGTCCCCGCCGGCCGCGCGGGGCCCGCGCTGGCCCAGGGCTGCTTCTGGCGCGGCTTTGCCACCAGCCCCCGGGCCCGCGTCAAATTCTACACCGACCCCGTGGAGGTGGTGAAGGACATCTCCGATGGGGCCACCGTCATGATGGGGGGCTTCGGGCTCTGCGGGATCCCGGAGAACCTGATCGGGGCGCTGCTCAAGACGGGCGTGAAGGACCTGAAGGTGGTCAGCAGCAACGTGGGGGTGAAGGACTTCGGCCTGGGCCTCTTGATGGCCACCAAGCAGGTCCGCCGCGTCGTGTGCTCGTACGTGGGCGAGAACCCGCTGTGCGAGAGCCAGTACCTGTCGGGCGAGCTGGAGCTGGAGCTGACGCCGCAGGGCACCCTGGCCGAGCGCATCCGCGCGGGCGGCGCCGGCGTGCCCGCCTTCTACACGCCCACGGGCTACGGCACCATGGTGCAGGAAGGGGGCTCCCCCATCAGGTACTTCCCGGACGGCCACCTGGCCATCATGAGCCAGCCCCGGGAGGTGAGGGAGTTCAACGGCGAGCACTACCTGCTGGAGCACGCCATCCGGGCCGACTTCGCCCTGATCAAGGGCTGGAAGGCCGACCGCTCCGGAAACATCATCTTCAGGAAGAGCGCGAGGAACTTCAACGCGCCCATGTGCAAAGCCGCGGATATCTCGGTGGTGGAGGT